ACAACACTTTGAGACATCGATGACGTAGGTGTTTCTAGGGTTCAGGAACAGCTGTTCGAAACATCAGACTCAATCATCAAAAAACGAACCGTAATACGAACTAAAATATTGGCATATAATCTTGCTTAATATTTTGCCTTATATTTTATAATTAGAACAGAACAAAAGACAAAGATATATAAAGCTACTTGTAAGGAGAAACGAATGAGTGAAACAAGACCAAACTCAGTCCGTTATAGCACTTGGACGAGGTTTGACCGGTTCGCTAAAGTCTTGAATCTGCCTCATTTCGCGGTTTCGGATTTATGAAAATGTCAGCAGAAGTCTCTGCCTTAGAGCCGGTGAGGACGTACGCGAACACTGTTAAACAAACCAATAGCCGGTGAAGAGACTGAAAATGACGAGGCCTGCAAAGTACAGTATCGTAAAGCGTTCATCAGTATAGTAAAGTGTTTTTAACTGTCATGAAGTGTTTGAAAGTGTTATAGATTGGTTACAAGTGTCGTGATTTACGTAGTGGCGACCTTTGGTGTCATTGTCAGCATTCACGACAAGCAAGGGAGTGGACCCTGGTTCGGTCCCCGGGAAGGGTGAACTTATGGGCAAGTGTTAACGCCATTTTCTTCTGTTTACCCAAAAGTGCTGTAAGTGCCGTAAGGTTTTAATAAGTATTGTGAAGTGATCACATGTATAATAACGTGTTCGTAAGTAACGTAAAGTGTTGTAAAGTGGCCGTCAGTATCAAAATCTCGAGTACTTCTCAAGGGTCCAAGCAACATAGAATATTGTCATGCTGTGTTGAAAAGTGTCGTAAGGTGCTATGAAGTCTCTCAAAGTGTCGTAAAGTGTTATTAATGTCGTAAAGTGTTGTTAAGTATCTTGAACTATCGCACGGTGTAAATTGTGTCATGGAGTGCAGCAAGTTGTCGTCAAGTGTCTTAAGGTGTTACAAAACTGTAAAGACGGCACCAGGATTCCCGCGACCACCAGCACAAGGTAACTACTAATAACACCACTGTTGGATTCATGACTTATTGAATAAGTTCTCTTAGTCATCCATTTAGCATAAACTAATGCTTAAGATTATTGGTTCTGCCTTAGTTATTCCTATAAGTTAAGTGTGACTAATCATATAGAGGTGTGTGTGTGGGATTCTTTCTTTTCTCTTTCCAGGTGAGTGTAAGTTAAAATAGCTTTTCGAGGGACATTGGCACAGCATATCTCAGGTACGTCCAAGTTATTATATTCATCCAGTATCGTTTTATTCGTCAGTTAAATCTGGAGTCCTTCGCATCCCACAACAGTTTTAAAGGAAAGTTACGCTTTTCCCCTCCATCTTTGAGGACGTCGGTGTCCCTCCCTTATCAATGAGTCAACGTGATGCCCTCACTCGTTCACGCAGACGTCGGACCCACTTAACCTTACACGGTCTTTGTGGTCGCCTGTGGTCCAGTCGCTGTCTATATGAAAGTCTCCCCCTCCCCTTCCCCCACGCCGTCTATGAGTGTATCACATTTCTCTCCCTCCCCGCTTCTTCCCGTCAGAGTCTCACCTCTTCAGAATTTCATTGTTGACCTTTGCAAATCGTCATCAGAGAGCAATGTTTTCGATGAGTCCGTGTGTCCGTCCGTCCTTGATGGATTTAGTAGCCACTCTGTAACTTGCCACGGACGGGATGGATTAATTTCAGTATTAGTGTGAGAGCGTAAATTATGGAAGGGTCTTACTGGGCAGTACTGGGCGTGTTGATAGTTCAGGGACTCTCAGAGATCAAGCTAGTATTTCAGAAAGTCATAGTTGTCGTATTTATTTTTTGGGGGGGCGGGGGGATTACTTAAAATGTTTGAATATATATTTATCGATGCTAACGTATTCGGGAATAATCGTTGACTTTGCACCTTGGCTGACCACTGATTAATTACCTGGTTTGTGTGTTTCTGGAAGTGGGTGAGGGAGGGATGCACCCAGCGAAGTTGCCGGCTAGAAATTTCGTATACAACTAGAGAATATTGTTACCTTAAGAGTGTTATCCCAACAGGGGAGAGAGTTAAACCGAATCTTTAATTCAGTTTAAAGTCCCACCACCCACGGTGATACGATGTTCATTTCTCTTTGTAAAACTTTGGATAAATTTTGGGTTGGTGATATACGGGGATTCCCCCAGAACCAGCCACAACTTTTCCAATCACAGAAGTCAGACAAACTCAATCATCGCCTCACCAGCGAACAACGCCTCTTCCCACACTTCCGGGAAATGGCTTTCAAATTATGTTTGTCGAGCTTACTGGATCACCTAGTTAATAATAATAATAATAATGGTGATCATATTATTATCAGGATTTATCAATTAACGGTTTTATTGAAAATTACAGCGGATATAATCTGGAAATTCAGTAAGGGCTCAAGTTGTGCATATACTGTATAACAAACTGTGACACTGGGGAAAGGGCCGTTCGAGGCGTTTCAGTGTAGTTATATATACGGAATAAGTAAGGAGTGAAAACAAAAGTTATCTATGAATCATTGATGCTTTTTACAATGTTTGGAATGGGACTATTTTTGTAGCTATCAGTACGAGACTAAATGGGCCTTTGTCTCTGTCACAGGTGGTTGAGTGCGTTTCAAGTAGGCTAAAAAGTGTGTTCCCACAGTAAGACGACAGTTTGCTCTGCTCTAGGGTGGCAGCCACACTAAGAACACTCGCGGTCACCCAACTACAGTGTTCGCATTGATCCTAACGCAAATCCCTTCTGTGATATCTAAGCAAAAGTTTGCCACTTAGGCATCACATATTATTCTCACTCTTGGAAGTTTGAAGCACCAATATCAGCAATTTGCCTACGGAACAGACAATTTACCTTCTATAAATATAGAAAGTTTTACAAGCCGGTTATTTTTTTACTTGAAAGTCCCTGAGTTTGGTGTCCCATAACATACAACACCGGTTTTTTTTATGCCTGTTACTCAGGCAACCAGAACAAACAACCCGGCCTCCTACATCACCACCACCACCACCTCCTACCACCACCAATGAAGTATCATATGAAGATAATAACTTTTCTCTATTGTCAAGAGTGTGGGGAAAAAAAAAGAGCCAAGATTGAGTAACTACGTATAACATCGTCGAGGGCTGTGGGTGATCCTGACGTTTTTTCCCTCCACAGAGTTGAGGACACTGACCTCTGTTCCTCCTGGGATGAACCTTATAGTCTCAAGAGTCCATATAGTGTTACGTCGAGAAAAGAATGTAGTCACAGAGTTGCTGACGTCACACCTCTTTATCGTGTTTTGTGAGTGTTATCATTCTTAATATTACGCGAACTATTTTATTCACGATACTGGATATAGAGAGCATAAGGAACACCGCGGGAATGTGATAATCCACTTGGCCTCTTTATTAAATTAACATAATTCATTAGATCCCTAACGTTAAGACTAACATTTGTAAGAACTGCAAGAAGAAACATAAGCACACGAGAGAGACAATGAAAGAGGTAAATGCATTTTGCATAACTTCGTGTAGTTAACCTAATGCCATAAATAAACATTAACTTTAATGTTTAATTTTTTATTGTATTCAAGATAAACATCTCCATCGTGTTGTGTCATTTGTTTATTGTAGTACACGTAAGTGGTGACATCAATCAGTTGAAAAGAAGATATGTAAAATATTTCACAACATCTGGTCATGAAGTTTAGAAAGTGTATCAGAAACAGTCACGCATTATGTAATACTCTCTTACATTTTCTTGTACATTTAGAGTATTAGGTTGGGACTCAGGAGAACTTTACATTGTAATATACTATCTGAAAATATATCTTAAAATATTATCATAATTATATATAAAATATCATAAAGATTCATGAAAATAAGATAGAGAAACATTCTTATGGTGAGAGCCTTAAGTAAAAGAGCGATTATCACGGATTCTTATTCTGGCATATTTATAGTAATGGTATGAAATAAACTCCATATCAATGTAAATCAACCGAGCCTATGACTGAAAGTTGTATAAAGGACTTTGATACTCGGATAATGTTACACATACAGTTGAGGATATTTATAATAGGTACACTATATAATATTATATCGAAATTTGTGTTATATTTCCTGTCATGTAAGAAATATAATCTATATGCGCTAACGTATGTCATTATCAGCATGAGTGGTAAATCTTTATTACAGTCGTTTACTTTGCAACAAACCCAGATTACTCGTCACTGAAAAGTATATTGTTGTTTAATCAGTGTTACTGTACGCGTGTTCAATCATAATGTTGTAAAACAGTTTTTCTCGAGAGTAATATGTTGACAGATGTATGAGTTTTAAACAATAGAAATATTTTCACTCTACTGTAAACACCATTTACCGAACGTGACGTACTACCTGGGCGGGTAGATGGGGTGGTGTGGCGTCCTGGATGGTGTGACGTAATGGAGGGTGGTGTGACGTCATGTGGGGGTGTTGTGACGTTATGTGGGGTTGTTGTGGCATAATGTGGGGTGGTGTGACGTCATGTGGGGTGGTGTGACAACATGGATGGTGGTGTGGCGTCATGGAGGGTGGTGTGACGTTATGTGGGGGTGGTTTGATCTATAACTAACTTATCGAGTGTTTTAAGCAAAGGGATATACTGATGACAGTGTAAGTGTTAATACTACTTAATACTGACAAGGTTCACAATATAGAAGGTTCTCTAAAGTATAAATGGTAAATAGTTTTCTAAGAAACAATTTCAAAGTTCTCTAAAGGTAAAGGGTAATGTTTTCTAAGGATAAATTATAGAGTTTTCTAAGGGTAAATTATAAAGTTTTCTGAGGGTAAATTATAAAGTATTAAAGGGATAAATTATAAAGTTTTCTAAGGATAAATAATAAAGTTTCTTAAGATAAATTATAAAGTTTTCTATACACTGTAGACAGTAGCTGAGGATTTCGAAAGCCAGAACCGTCTCTAAAGGCAGCACAGATAACCTAGGTACTGAGCTCACACTACTTACCCTTGGCAGAGTTCTCGAGTACAGCGGCATGTAATGTGGTGCGGGGGAAGAAGGGCGCGTTGTCGTTTATGTCCTTTAGGTTGACGTGTACCATGGTCGTCGCCTCTGTTCGCCCGTCGCTCGCCGTCACACGTAGTCGCCACTGTGACCGTCCCTCGGGGGGGTCCCTGTCCAATGGCTGACACCGTGGTGGAAGAAAGTAGAAAAAAAAGTAAGATGATGATGATGGAGAGGGTGAATAATGAGGCGATGTAAATGATAAAGAGAGAGAGAGAGAGAGAGAGAGAGTGAGAGAGAGAGAGAGAGAGAGAGAGAGAGACGTCAGCGTTAAATGACGCAATTGTACAATGAGATGTAATAACAAGGTGATTGAATTTAACACCAAATTTTGCACCTCCTAACAACATGGTTATTGTAAAGACAAGCACTGTTGGGATCCTGAAGTCATGTACAAGGTCCCTGTTGTGCTAAGACCCTCGTATGTGCATGTTTGTGTTGACCTCGGCAGAAAATCTCACCAGGTAATGAGCCAAATACTCTCACCCATGTAAATCATCAGGAAACTTCACAAACTATCGCATTCTGAATTTCTGATATGCAAATGGTTAATAATTTTTCTGTGTTGATGTGTGATAATTTCCGCTCTTGAAGAAGTAAAAAATAACTTGTGAAACGCACTGGTAATAAAAAATTCATAGAACACGAATATGATGAACAAACTAAGCGATGTAAACTCCCTTTTCGCCTCACTGATATTCTGTAGTAATTTTCTTGTTTACTTCATGATATTTATGTTACCAGTGCGTTTAACATGATATTTATTAGAGATGTAAACACTTCACCAAGACACCTCAACGACAAACATCAACAAGAATCACCAAGAAACTTCACCACCAAAGAACTTTATCAATAAACATCAACAACACCCCTTTACCACCGAGTCCCTACAACAGAGAATAAACGAACCTACAGTACCTACCCGTAGTAGCCTCAGGGCGCCAGTCTGGGGGTCGACGGCGAAGTACGAGAGTGAATGATTGGCCAACACTCCGTCCCCTGACAGGTGATAGAGAAGCCGTCCTTCCTCTCCGGCGTCTTCGTCCACAGCTGATACCTACGACGGGAGACAGATTAAGTGAGGTCCGTATAACTCCCGTGCTGCCGTCCTCACGATGGAGTGGACAGGATAAAGAAACGTTGAAGAATGTTGTGTTTTATCCAGACAACAGTTCTCTTAGAGTCGAAATATTGACTTTTTTAATTTTTTTCAAGATTTTTGTTATTATTTTTTACTAACTTCTTTTGTCTGTGTTGATTTGTGTATTAGTGTGTGTGTGTGTGTGTGTGTGTGTGTGTGTGTGTGTGTGTGTGTGTGTGTGTGTAATCATAATTTGACCTCCAGTTTTCAGCAAATTATCACACCAGTCGGTATAAATCATCTCAGTGGGTGGATGATGTTCTGAGAAGCCTCTGTTCTTATATGATTTTTTATTTTATTTATTTTTGTACAGAAATGAAGGGTGAAAGAAGATTAGAGGTGGGGGGAAGGAAGTTATAGTTCGGAAATTGAAGAAATTTAGGAGGAGGTAAGAGAGGGCGGGCTGACCGCCGAGCTAAGCTAATGGTGTGTTAGGGTTGTGTCATGGGTTAGTTATTGTCTGTCGGTACAGGCACTAGACATCCTACCCTATCCCATATATGGGTGTTTTGAGGGCCTTATTTCATATTCCGCCGACCCTACTGGCGGATGCTGGTCTAGGGAGGTTGTCTATTGCCTGGCCGTATAGATCGGGGGTGGTAATGGACCTTTTGAGATTTGGTAACTTTTTGGGAACCATGTATGGTTGTTGTCGTTATCTGGTGGGAGTCTTTGAAGGACAGTGGGCTGACCACTCTCAGATCCTCCCATATGATTTCAGGGGAAGGCTGAGTGCAGTGTGTCTGGCCCCGGAGTTCATCAAGGACAAGCTCCTCGTGGGTACCATCAAATCCCCTGTTCTCTTCATTTGTGATTCGGAAATGTTCCTCCACATGTCCCTGAATATGGGTCTGTGTCTTGATCGTCATATATTTTACTTCCTGCGTGGTCAGTTATATATGATGACTCGTTACGGCTGCAACCTTTCAGTCTCTTAACTCGACGCCAGAACTCTCCTGGATCGTTGTATGTATGTGAGAGTTGTTCAACTATTTTGGTCCATTTAAGGTTGCTTTGTTCCAGAGATCTTGTTTTTATTTCCTCCCGTATTCTTCTGTATGTATTGTAGCTTACGATGTCCCAACCATAGGTCTCGGCTCTCTGTTGTAGCAGTTGGAACTGGTTTGTGAGGGCGATGAGTTCTGGAGTCTGTTGTGGGTGTGGGAGAGTTCTGTTGCGTTTGAGAGGAGTGGACTCCTGGTAGGCTGTTCCTATGGCTTCACACCATGTGTTAATTTCTTTGTCTATTTTGTTCCCCGGCTGATTGTCTATGGTCTGCAGGATTGTCATGCCCTTGGCCTCAACTTTGGCTGTAGCTTTTTCGTTGAATAGTTCCCAGTCGGTCTGCTTGTCGATCCTCTGTGGTGGAGCTGGTATAGTTATTGGTGTTGCTGAGATGGTTATGATTATAGGTAGGTGGTCGCTGAAGGTTACAGGGCCTTGTTAAGAGAAATAGTTGTGGAAGCATCTGCCGTTTGTTATTGCTATATCTGGAGTAGTGGCTGAGTATAATATCTGTGTCAACTTGGTTGTATTGGCTGGACAAACTGAATTTATTAGTTCTCCAGTGGAGGACGTTATGTTGCATCTTTTTCACTGCCTTACGTAGCGAGTCCAGTGTTTCTTGTTCTTGGTTTTGGGGGGATCCGTGGGTTTCGTGATTTGTTCTCTGTGCGTCGTCCATTCATCAATTTTTTGATCATCCGATCGGATGACTTTTTGATGCAGTTTGTTAAATCGACCTGTTTTTGTTTAATGGCCTCGTGGATGTCCGCCTCGGAAGTGGAGTGGCAGTACTTCCATTTCATCTTGTAATCAATTACTCCTTTAGCGACTTCATCACGTGTACAGTCCTCGTTGATGTGGTCTGGTATGTAGATGCATACTGTAGTTTCAGGTGTTTACCTGATAGATCGCTTGGAGTCTGAGAGACAGGTATCATCTCTGATGTGGGTACTTCTGCATCCACACCAGAGACCACTGTTGTCTCCTCTGTGATTGTTGGAATCTTAGAGACATGTATAATCTCTGGTGCGGGTACTTGTGCACCCACACCAAAAACTACTGTTGTCTCCTCCGAGGTTAAGGATGTTGCCCTGAACAGTTTTTGGATAGGCAGATTGTGGTGGCGTAAGCATTTTTCGAGTATTGTTTGAAAGCAGTCTGGGTGCAGAATATCCTCCTCATGGGCGTGTTTGACAATCATGTTGGTTAGAATGTAGAGTCCGTAGTGGCTGCAGGGACCATAGTAACTGCAGAAGTCGGGGTCCCTACCATCACTACATCTCTGTATGTCCGTGCAGTGACCGCAGGAGTCGGGGTCCCTATCGGCAGCACAGCCTTGTATGGTGATACTGATGTTTTTGTGGCTTTTTGTTGTGCTTCCTTGATTTTTTCCTTTCTTTTGGGACAGCGCATGGACATAGTGCTGTGAGGCCCATCACAGTTAAGGCCTATATGACTTACAGGCCCATGGGAGGGAAGGAGGGGGCAGATGGGGGGGATAGGGCTAGGAGAGGGGTGGGGTGTGGGGTGTGGGGGTATGTGTCATCTCCAGGTAACTTTTACTTTATGTAGATATTCATAAATGAGAAGTTTGCCAAGTGAAATTTTTTTGGCAGCTAAAAGTGATTAGCTGCTCGCCAGAAATTATTTGCAAACTTTTCGATGATTGGTTGTGGCTTACAGTGTGTTACCTGGACGGGAAATCAGCATATGCAAACCCGACGTTGATTGGTTGCTGTTGTTTTTCATTTTCGCCGAAGCCAGTTTTATACACCAACACGAGGAATCAACTTAATTTGAACAACTATGGAAAAAACAAAAGAAAGAGAAAATAGAAAAAAAAATTATGTTGCTGTCATGACGGATTGTTGTTTGTTATGTACTTTTATGTTCCTTTTGGTTCAACTCGTCATTTGTAGGTTACTGAAAAACACAATAAATGAACACACTACACATATACCTCAATAATTTGTGAGTAATGTCAATAATTTTCGTCAGAAGTTACATCATGTGTTCCCCCAACCAACTCCTTCTTTACGTAGGCCGAAAAAATATGGAAATGTGGATCGACAAAAGGGCGATATATAAAGAAAATGGTCTAAACGAAACGTAATGTTAACTTTGGCCAAGAGAGCCACACTTCTCCTCAGCTCAGAAAAAAAAGAAAGATAATTCAGTTTTGTCGACCTATTAATATTCAGGATCGAATATTTTAATTGAACGTAATAATGTATTCATAGGTATTCAAATCTAATTGGAAAAGATGGCATTAAAATTAGAATCGCATTAGTTGTTCTTATTACATATTTCTACTAGACTTTTTTTTCTTTTGGTAATATTATATTGATATCAAAAGTGTATGTATTTTGGTTCTTGTTATGTGGTAGTGTTAAGTCCTTGCATACGGTAAATATTAACGACGCTCTGCCTATGTGTTCACCTCAATCCCCTCTCTCATATGTGCGTATTGTATGTATATGTAAGTTGCTGTGCATTTTACACCTGGTGAAGTTGTATGATTATGGTTATATATGTTTGTAAATGTGTGTATTTTAGAATATGTACTGTATGTGTATGTGTTTGTATGTATGTATTTCTGTGTGGGTGTTTTTTGTTTCTGTATATGCTTTTATATGTACAGTATATACGCATGCATGTGTATACTCGTATCATGTTGAAGACACACACACACATACACACATATCACGCACAGCGTAAATACTCGAGACATAAGAGTGGCTGGCTGAGAAAAATAATGAAAAAAACTCGTATGTAGATGGACTGGGAGGTAAAACGGCTAAGTGGATGAGACATTAAAGCTGCGTCACTATAATGAGAGTTTAGGAAATCAACTTTTTGCATCACTTACACCAGGTGGCGACGATGTTGGTGGTGTGTGTGTGTGTGTGTGTGTTTAATAATAATAATAATAATAATGATAAAAATAAAAATATTAATAATTAAATTAACGATATATTAAGATAACGTGGCAGCCAGAATGCTGAAAATATACAATAAACAGAGATGATAAGTTACATATGGTGAGATCGTGGAGTTGATTACTTGATTGACAAAAGCTGTCGATACAAAAAACATAAAAAACACAGAGTCAACATATAGAATAACTATAGATCTGGTACTGGGGGAGCTAGTCTTGCAAACAATCTTGTGACCTGATATAAGAACATAACATAAGAATGGAGGAAACTGCAGCGGCCCTATTGGCCCATACTGGGCAGTCGCATTTACACCCAACCCCTATTGCTCATTTATCCATCCAACCAATGTTTGAAGCTATCCAGCGTATTCGAGTTAATGGTGATATTTGGTAACTTGTTCCACTCATCCACTACTCTATTTCCAAACCAATGTTTACCTATTTCGCGCCTAAATCTAAATTTGTCTAATTTAAAACCATTGTTACGAGTTCGCTCCTTGTTGGATAGTTTGAGTACCTTTGTAATGTACCCTTTGTTTAGCCCTGACTTCCATTTATACACCTCTATCATGTCGCCCCTCGCTCTACGTCTCTCGAGGGAGTGCAAATTAAGATGCTTTAACCTGTCTCTGTACTCAAGGTTCCTAATGCCCGGGATTAGTCTTGTCATTCTTCTCTGAATTCTTTCCAAGGATTCTATATCCGTTCGGTAATACGGTGACCAGAATTGTTTTGGAAATAGAGTAGTGGATGAGTGGAACAAGTTACCAAATATCATCATTAACTCGAATACGCTGGATAGCTTCAAACATAGGTTGGATGGATATATGAGCAATAGGGGTTGGGTGTAAATGGGACTGCCCAGTATGGACCAAGAGGCCCGCTGCAGTTTCCTCCATTCTTATGTTCTAAAGGTGAGGCGGGAGGACACGTACTAATGTTCCTCCACAAACAACACGACGAGTGGCGAAGC